AATATAGATGCTGCTGTATCCTTCAGTACTCCAAGTGTTGCACATGCTTTAAGTATTAATACGATTAACTGAATAGCCTGTATGGCAGATTCTTTTTTTTTTAATTTCTTTTTTCAAGAGGAGAAAATGTGGTGTATCAGTTGCTTTTCTGCTGCTGTGATATTATTACTTACGGTGCCTTAGAGTATTACAGGGTTTATTTTAGCTCACACTTCCCAAGGATGGATAGCCCACCATAACTAGAAAGACAGCAACAAAAGCATGAGGCTGGCCTGGTGGTCAGGAAGGAGAGAACAAGCGTGTTTCATACACGCCCAGGAAGCAGGGAGAAAGGGCAGGGAAGTGGGTTCAGGTGATAAGACCTTAAAGCCTACTTCTAATGACCTACCTCATCCAGCAAAGCTCCACCTCCTAAGGGTTCTATAACTTTCCCAAACAGCACCACCTGCAGACCGAGTTGTTCAAGCACACGAGTCTGTGCGACACATTTCTCATACTGGCCTGTGAAGCATCTCCTGCTTTGAGCTTTCCTGGGATTACACAGCCAAAAGGGGGAGAGGAAACTCAGAGAAGCCTGGGACTCCAGACACCTTTCTACCCATTACATCCATTCCTTTTTACTGCATGCTTATGGTGACTATGATGATAAACGGAAGCCCTGAATGCTTCCTGGCCCCGTCTTTAAGTCTCAGATCAGGGTCAGGCATGCTGCCGTGATAGCTAGAAGCACACCAGCACCGGTATTCATGAAACATGCTGATAGATGGTTAGGCAGAGTGCTCCGTGTGTGTCCCTGTGGTAGAGTGCTCAGGGTCTCCACAGTCTTGTCTATCATGGGATTGCAGAGAATTGTACTGGTTAGCACTTCACCTCCAAGAGAGCCTAGAGATTAAACCTCTGCAAAAAGCTGGTCCACTGGATGTTCTTTCCAGACTGGAATGTGACTTTCTCATCTCCATTTCTACGTCTAGGACTTAGCAGGAATGCACATAACACTGGGTAAAATAAGAGATGTCGCTCAGTCACTGTGAACTGCCACTTTGTCACTATTTGGGGCCTCGCGGAAGATTCTGTTACCCCTTTGCTCTGCTTGTTTCCTTTGTGGGTAGCCTCATGTCCCCACCCCAGTCCTTTACTTACCTTTACTCGGTAAGCTTCTTTCCAAAGGCAACTGCTCCTTTATCATCTTATCTTTATGGAAACCATCTTACTAAGCTTCCACTGGTTGGACAGATATTTAGTCGTTTCCTCATCATGATGAATAGATTTTCATTTATTTGCTATTATTGCGTTTAACCCTATTCCTTAGCAGATTTTTCTCAATTTTACATTAATGAATGAAAAGTACATTTAACTGTCATGTTGACATATAAATAGAATTATTAAAAAAACACTAAAAAACCTAAGTTACAATATAATTCATACATATATACTTATATGTAATATATACATATATATATACTTCATATATGAATATGAACACTCTTAAAGTTTTTATATCATATAAACATATTTTATAGTGTATAAAAAAATAAAAGGAGAATTATCTAGTACCTATTGTGTCTCATAAAGAACTTCTACTACTGAGCTTGATCTTTAAAATGATTTTGACAGCTTTTTCTCTGGGTCAGGGAAGAACACATGGGGTCCCACCTCTCCCTGAGGGACTGTTAGTAGTGACTGGTTACTGGGGAAGGGGTGTCACCTCCTTCAGCAGTGTAGTCACAGAAAAATTAGTTCATACCCCAGTAAATAAGTGTTCACGCATCCGCACATAAACAACCCCAATTAAACTCAGTGGACCACACAGAGCAAAAAGCATGGAAGTGTGAGGCGAGGTGTGGAAGAGAGACGGGGCTGAGGGAGGGCAGTGGGGGTGAACACGACTAATGTTCATATATATATACACACAACGTCAAAGAATAACTATTTCAAAATTAGGGGGAAAAACAGCCTTGAAAAGAAACACAACTTGTTTTAATGTTGAGGAGTGGTGTGGCCTTCCAGGCCACCCGCTGTAAAGTCAGGCTGAAGCCTGGAACCTTTCCAAACTTACAGCTTCTTATCTGCCAGCTTACGATCATAGTTCATGTCGGGTATCTGGACTGGGATTGGAAAGTGCCTTTGTTTCTAACACACAAGCAACAGTTAATACAGAAGTAGTGTTGGCTTATTAATTCCCTGTGCACATACTTTACAGTCGCCCTAGCACATAGGATTTCTTTAGTGAGAGACGCTGTACCATACGCTGAGGTCCTCCAAGGCTAAGTGAGGTTACCTGTTCTTACCATCATGAATGTAATGGAAAACCAGTAACCAGGTTTCTTCTTAGTAGCATAAACAGCTGGTTGGATTCAGAAGCAAAGCATTGGTCTGTCTGTTTGGAAGAGCCAGACACTGCTTAAGCTCAGATCACCGCCTTGGGGCCAGGAGCTGAGGTGTGACAGACAGGTGTACTGAGCATGCACTGTGCCGTCAGGACACAGTTGTCTTTCCACCAGGGAGCAGAGGCACCTGTCTTTCTGTACACTCGTTTTCATGGACTGGAACAGACGCTGGAGCTGCTGAAGAGAGGGTACCCGCCTCCCAACCCAACAATAACAACAGAATCAACAAGAGCAAAAGCAGACCTTTATCCTGCTGTATTCGAAAGAGAATTAAAGAATGCAAGCCTAAAACTTCTGCCATGTGCATAGGAAGTGCATGGACCAGGGACAGCCAAGTGAGGCAAGCTTTGATTTGTTCTGCTTTCAGGCAGACCCTTTTATAACAGACCAAACAGAGGCTCAGAGACGACCCGTGAGGTCTGTTCCAGCAAAAACCATTAACAAGGTGCAAGAGCATATACTTTGACAGTAGATGAATGAACTCAGGGTCAGGTCTGAAGGGGGTGCAGTTTGATGACACATATATGCAGCTAGTGCCATTTGGCCATGGACACATTGGGTGGCCATCGTCACCCTTAGCATTCTCTAGGAAAGAGGACTTGATGCAAGGATGCCCTTTTTTCATTTGGCACTCTATTTTTATTTATTTATATTTTTGCAAGGTTCTTAAAGCAGATCAATGATTCTGAGAAGCAAAAATATTAGGAATAAATAATTTCAGTTCAGACTGGACAAAGAGACAGGGATGTAACAGCTTAATGTGACAAACTTTATCTTTTAGCGAAGGAGTACCTGGAAGTACGTTTTTAAAACTTCCATAAATTATGATTTAAAACAATGGAAGTTTTCTGGAGAGCTTCACCGAACTTTACATGAGAAAAGGTGATTTTCGGTATCCTGGCAGTAAATTCCTTGTTACTTCTCTTCATCTGTTCATAAGAAAAAATTCTTACGAATTATAGTACTTATCTGATGTATGTTTTAGATTAAAATATTTGTTTCATGTTATTTCATAATTGAAGATCATTCCACTATTGCACACTACCTTCATTGCTTGCCTGAGCACGTGAGTGTGTGTGTGTATGCGTGTGCGTGTTGGGGAAGGGGGTGTCGCCATGTCATGCCAAGGTGACTTCAAATCAGAAGACAACCTTGGCGTTGGTTCTCACCCTCCACCTGGTTTGACATGGGGTCTCCAGTTGTAGTTTCAGTGCAAGTGCCCGACTAGCTGGTCCACGAGTGCCCAACCAGTCTCCTGTCTGTGCAGCGCATCTTCACAGCTGGGGTGAACTAGCCTTGCAAACGCTTGGTCTACTGCATCCGCGTTTTGATACAGATTCTGACGCCCTGAACTCGGATCCTCAGGCTAGCGTAGCAAGTGCTGCTCACTCTACTGTCTTCTTAGCTGTGGATCCGCTTCTGATTCCGCATCCTCCTTTAAAGAATTACCTCCATCTGGAATGTTTAGGCGATGCCGTGGTCGGTCAAATGATTCCTAATCTTAGGAATTTCCCACAGCAAAGGTGCAATTCCCACCTACGCTACATGAACTGATCAGAAGCCGAGAATCCCCACCTCAAGCTTTCCATGAATTTATGTGATAAGAATGTGGGACAGTTGAATCCCGACTTTTGTGGCTTCCAGCCAAGAAAGTCAGACATCCACCTTTTCATGCTTCTCATATTGAATTGGCCAGCAGCTGTCGCACGTTCATGTCTGAGTTCAAGGACGCCACAAACGTGGTGGCTGACCGGCAAGAAGATAGAAATGTAGATTAAACTGCTAATGACTGCTGCAAAAGGTGTCCCGCTGCCTCTGTTTCCTATTGAGACTTTAAAAGCAATACGCATCGGTGCAATTATAAACCCTAGCTAGACTGAAACTGATTTCTCTTATAAGATTATATACCAGGTGAAAAATAAGAAAACTGAAATCTAAAAAATGTAATATTAAATGAATTCAGCAAATAATATTGTTCATATTTGACAAAATAAAATCTGTACCTCAGCTTTGAAGAACCAAGAGATAGAAAAGAAGGAGGAAGGAAGGAAGGAAGGAAGGAAGGAAGGAAGGAAGGAAGGAAGAAGCCAAGACAGCAATGAGAGTGAGGAAAAACAAGAGTATATATGGATAATGTGTAGAAAGGATTTTTGCATGGATTATCAAAAACACTGCCCTGGCTGGAAAGAAAACTCAGTGGGTAAAGTACTTGCTTTGCAAGCACAGGGATTAACTTAACTTTTGATCCCCAGAACACGGGCAACAAATTTCAGACAAGCTAAAAATTTTAATGTCAGTGCTGGGGAGGCCAAGACAGGCACATCCTTGACCCCTCTTGCCAATCAACCTAATCCACATGACTAGTCTCAGGAGAGTGAGAAAGAAAGGTGGAGGTATCTGAAACACAGCGCTTGAGATTGTCCTCAGACCTCTACATGCCTATGCACACATGTGCCTGGAGACAAAAAGCAACATACACACACGTACACACATGTGCGCGCACATACACACACAGGCACTGTTTTTTAAATATTGGATTTTGACTTGTATGAGACTGTTATTTTATACTGTTGCATTAAAAGAAAACTGCTTTTTTTTTCTCTCCCCCTTAAGGAAAACATAAACATTGACGAAGCTTCAAGATGCCTGGTCAAGCACATACTTGCCAACGAGTGTGACCTCATAGAGTCCATAGAACCAGACATTGTGAAGCCCCACCTCACAGCACCCAAGGTCGTCAGCTGCTCTGGCTGTGCCAGATCCTAAAAGGTGCCTCTGCTGGCGTGTGACGGTCAGAACCCCAGGGCCCTAATGAATTGTGCTTCAATTTTTTTTTTTGATTACCATTTTGGGTAAGTGTCAGGAGAAGCCCATGGCACATGTGACGAGCCAAAGATGTATGACTGCACGTTTCCTGTCCAGAGAGGAACAGCAAATATTCTTTATATGTTTTTCCCGACCCTCAGCACAGTGTTTACAAGCTTTTTAAATATCAGTCTGTTGTCAAATGCTGTTTTATCATCGAGCAAAGTCACTCAGGGACACATCCAGCCGTGCTACGTGTTCCTTTAAATCAGCAAAGGCCTCTGGTCTTCTTGAGAAGGGGAACAAGAGAGCACAGCGGAGGTCAAGCTAAGCGCGGAATTTGCCTTGCCCTGGTGCGTCTTTGTTCTGGTTTCGACTTGTTTCTGGGTGGTCCTATAGGTCTATTAAATAGAAACGGTATTTTCGCCTTTCTCGGCAGACCTGAGGGTTGTGTGTGATGTTGCCCTTCAGAGTCGTGTATGCAGGCAGCCTGTGCCTTTGTTGCCTTCATTGTTACTTGCTGTGCCCTGAATGCTGGTTTAACTGAAAACTGTATGGAAAGATCTGCTCCCTGAATGTGCCTTTCTCTTAGCATCCTCGGACTCAAGCTGTGGGACTCCTCTGTACATGTAAGATATATTATATATATTTTGCACAGGTGGAAAATAAAACATTAAAGATGCTGTTTCCCTATTTCTGATATTGCCTTCAACTTCTTTTTTAGTACTGTGGATTTTTTTTTTGACAATACAGCCATGCTTCTCAAATTCCATTTCTCCATTTGATTTTAGAAAAGGGATAAGGAATTGGGATGAGTTCATTCTATCTTGTATCAACTGTTTCATTCAGCATTTAGGTCAAGAAAATAAATAGTGCTTATGGACTTTTGGTTAATCACAAAAATATCTTTATACATTCTGACTAAGAAGGTTATAAAGCAAAGAATATAAAAACAAACAGCTGGCCATATTGTTGAAATGTTTCAGGTGGGTAACATTTTTAAGATGAATATTTTCCTTTACTATTCATAGTATACTCACAAAATTTTCAAATTTCACAGTATATATTTTAGTACACACCATTGACATTCATTGTTTCTGCAAGCACCACACACGTGTTAGTACTGCGTTTCTTTTTCCCTTAGGATGGGCACTTACCTCTGATGCAGTTGGCCCATGAGGCAGATGGTCCTGAAGCATCTAGGAATTCATGCTTCTTAACTAGCTCTGACTTATGAGAGCAGAAAATGAGCTATACAAACCCCCAAATTTCTTTTCACTCACAAAGAGTAACTCCAAGGCATGCTCAGAGGACTGCTTCTGGTGGCATTAAGTGTCTGGTTTCTATGGAGGGAGTTTTCCATTTGATTCATCCCACATGGTTTTCTTATTCCTTCCCTGATGCTCTTGGGTTAACCTCCAAAACAAATTACATTCACACAAATCCTCGTCTTATTCTGTGGAAGGTGACCTAAGATTGTTAAGATGGAGGTGAACCAAGGGGGGAGATCCGTAGTATCAGATGCAAAGGATGCAATCAGGAGTATGAGGAGACAAACTACAGAATGGAAAAAAAAAACATGTTCAAGCTATTCACCTAACAAGGGGTTCATATAAAAATATATAGGAACTCTAAAAACTCCCTGACAATAATAACAACCCAATAAAGAGGGTCTGAACAGATCTTCTTCCAATGTGAAACTATCAGTGGTCACCAAATGAAGGTAGAACATTACTAGCCGTCAAAGAAAGGGATGCAGTTCTACACTATGAGCTGTAATTCTACTCTAATCAGAATAGCTAACCCCACAAAGGAAAAAAATAACAAATGTTGGTGAAAACACAAGAACAATGGCAATGGGTTTTTGATCCTACTGCACCTATTGGTTTTGTGGGAGCCTAGGCAGTTTGAATGCTCACCTTACTAGACCTGGATGGAGGTGGGTGGTCCTTGGACTTCCCACAGGGCAGGGAACCCTGATTGCTCTTTGGACTGACAAGGGAGGGGGACTTGATTGGGGAAGAGGGAGGGAAAGGGGAGGCGGCGGTGGGGAAGAGACAGAAATCTTTAATAAATAAATGAAAGAAAGAAAGAAAGAAAGAAAGAAAGAAAGAAAGAAAGAAAGAAAAAAGAAGAAAGAAAGAAAAGTACTATGCCACTGATAGAAATAAAGCTTAATATAACAGCTATAGTGAAGAGCATAAAGGTCTTAAAAATCTAAAAACTGCATCTACCGCATGGTTCAGCGACACATTTCTAGGTCTATGCTCAAAAGAAAACGAAACAGCACATCAAACAAATATTTATTGCATCACTCATAGCTACGATGTGGCATCCACCAAGGCACCTACTGGTAGATAAATGGATGAAGAAAATGTGTAGATAGCTATGGAGTACCACTTGTCCTTAGGGGGAAAAAATGAGATCTTGTCATTTGTAGCAAACTAGGTGGAGTAGGAGAATATTACGCTAGAAATAATAAGCCAAACACAGGAAGACAAATACTCTGCGCTCCTCTCTTTCACAGGTGGAACCTGTAAAGAGCTTATTTTAAGGTAGTAAAGAAAGAACTGTAATTACTAGAGGCTATGAAGGAGTCGGAGTGATGGATTGATGGAGGAAGGGTGAATATGGGTATGAAAATGGGTAAGAGGAATAATTCCATAGTATCATGGAGAACTAAGAGATGAGCTCAAATTTCTGAAATGGGACAAAGAGAAAATTTATTTTACCTAATTTAATTTTATTGTATGTATATATGTATTGGAATTTTTTGATATACCGCACATATAAATTTATCATTTATTACTTTAAAAAGTTTTAAAAACAGAAGAATGACCCTTTAACCCCAACACTCAGGAGGCAGAGGCAGGGGGACTTCTGAGTTCAAGGCCAGCCTGGTCTACAGAGTTCCAGGACTGCCAAGGCTATACAGAGAAATGTTGTCTTGAAAAAAACAAACCAAAGAAGAGAAACTAGTGTTCTGAACTTCTGAGCCATCTGTCCAGCCCGCCATTCATGATGGGGAAGGCGAGACAGGATTACTGAAAATCAGTGGATCAGAGTGGGATATGTCTGGGACTCTGGGCTCACTGGGATCCTTTTGATGTCAGCATGTATCACGATAGCTGCTGGAGCAATTGCAGTATCACTGGCGAGGCTAACCAGGGGCTCACATTCCTGAGATAAAGCTTTACTTGTGGTATCATTCGGGATACTTGATGTAGAAGCAACTGAGCCAAGGGAATGAGCATGGCGGAGAACAGTCGGGAACATCAGTTATAATCTCAAAGAGGAAACACATCAGAAGGTAGCAGAGATTGCTCCACTGTCCCTACTATTTCTAGTACTGTCTCTTTTCCATCCTCTTTTCCTCATTAATAAGACTCAAGCTTCATAAACTATGGATTGTCACTCTTTAAGGGGCAAAGTAATCAAAGGTAGGGCTTGTGAAAATTTGAAAACACTAAAAGATTTCTGAACATACTACAACCAAACATTATTTTAAAAATAAACACATCATGAATACAGTGTGTTTCTGGCTGCCTTCGGCCTGTGCTGTATCACAAGGCCTTTCTGAATTCTTAGTTCTGAGCATAAAACACACGCTCTTTTCACTGGGTAACTTATGCTGCCTAAAGCACTTTGGCTCAGATTGGAGATTATTATGTGTTGAGAATTGCAGTGCTTTTATTGTACATAAAGAGTTTCCTCCTCCCGCCGAAGCATGATGGCATAATTCTGTAAAGAGAACACTTTTAATGTTTCCTTGCCCCCATGCCTCAGCATGCACATGTAAAATAGCGATCTGAATTGCATCATGTCCGCATGCTTGATTTTAAAAGTTGCTATTTAAATTTCTGCATCAAGTTTCAAAAAAAGCATTAAAGGAATTTTGACTTGTGGTTAAGATAGAAGTTTAAACAATTGTTGAAACAACCCTAAATATACTTCTACCATTTAGTACTGCATATTTATATGAAGTGGAGTTGTTAACATTAAGAATAACAAATCAGAGCATCAAACAGCTTGAAATATCATTGAAAGATCATCTATGTCTTGCAAAATTTAATTCTTTATGAAAAAAAAAAAAGAAATAGTCACATCCCTCTCACTAGGATGCAAATGGGCTTTCATCTTCAACAAATGGTAACATTATATACACAACAAAGAACTTTGAAAATATATTTATTATCCTTTATTATCTGTAAATATTTGCATTCTATAATCATTTTATATACTTATATGCTTTGGCTTTTCTGAATTTAAAAGAAACTAAATTTAAGAGAAATTAAAAATTTCTCTGTAAGAAGGGGTCACAAGTGAAAAAGATCCTTAAAAGAAAGTCCCTGAACTTTTTTGAAAAATCCATGTAAGATCAGAGTGTCCTAAAGATGCAGAGGGAGTAAATGCAGAGTATACAGACAATAGCAAGGCAGACCAAAGGCGCCCTGCAAAAGACCCATTACAGCCTCCTGTGCCGTTCCTCACAGCTGGCTCTGGATGTCAAGGATCAGAGCACCACAGAGGTGAGACCTCCCGGATGAGCCTCATACAATACTAGCATAAATTAGTGAATAGTCAGGCTGTCTCACGTTGGCTTGAATAAACCTCAGGCTCCCTTCTCCAGTGGCAAAGTTACAGGGAGTGGGAAACTAATTATTGCAATCTTTTTGGTTTCCCTTCGTGCCTGCCCCCTTTTTCTGTCTCATCACCAGTGAGTCCCAGAATCTTTAAGCAATTTTCATTTCTGTTTGTGCTCTGAGTGCTTCTGGACATAGTTATATGGGCTCACTCATCTCTACAGACAGTGAGCAACTTTCGGAAGCTCACATAGCTACTCGCTGGAGGAACAAGGACTCACACCCAGGAGGCCTGATACCAATGGCTTTGCTGTGAAATGCTATGGCAAACTCTCTCCTTAGATCTTTGTGGGGTGCAGTGCTACCACATACCAGCTGCTACCAACCACTTCTCTTCAGCACTGTGTGAGATGCTGCTGTACACTCTCTGTAAAAACACTTAGCTCGGTGCATGAAGCATGGCAAGCAATGGAAAAGGATTACTGTGCGATTCTCCTGTTGACTTAGCTATTACTAAGCTAAAGGAGTATAAACATGGCCATCTGATGAGATGATATGCATGTGTCGAGATATACAGGGCCTCACTGATGCAGCTTGGTGATTGGTTCCGGTGATAGCGGAAAGGAATGATTTCCTTTTGGGAAAAACAAAAACGTTAGGAAATTAATTGTTATGATAGTCTCACAACTTTGTGAACATATTAAAATCCAGTGAAAAGGAAAAGAAATGGTGAGTAAATAGATTACAAGGTCCTCATAAGAAACAAAGAAAAGCCAGAGAAAAAGAAATACAGAATTGTTTTCCCTGATGCATGAATGGAGGCCAGCTTGAGGAAACTGTCCTGGTCTGATTCTACCGGAAGATGTCATCTGACATGCTTGTACCACTGCTGGTATCGTTCTCCCCAGCTCGCCCTTGCTGAACTCACGGCTTGCTCTCAGATGCTGGGAATTGCCATTGGGCATAGTTTTACATTTAGTTGCTTCTGAGCAGCCCCTGACCCCTGATATCTTTGCCGCTCTTAATTCCCTCAAGCAATAGTGCATCTTTTATTTATTTTATTCCAGGACTGGGATAAAAGGAGCACGAGAAA